GAATTTTTTCTGAGCCCCACCCTAATCGATTGCCATGAAGTCAGAACTCGGGGCTACTCTGTGCTTAGATGGACGGAAAATTTGTCCGGAGTTGCACCGAAGCAACAGGGTTCCGGGGGAGTGCGGGCATGCCAGTCGCGATGAACTTCCTCTGAGCCCGTACACTACAATTACTTCAAACCCATGCTGCAGTTCTGACCTGAAGTGGGAGCTGCCGGTATAAACAAAATCCACGAAGCGAGAGACCACTGTTCCCAGAATCTCCCCAAGACTTCTGCAGAAGAGGCACAAAGCATCGAGGCAGGAACCAGGAACTTTCTCCTTGCCAAGGCCGTCGGCTATAGAAACCACCCCATCAAATACTATATTTTTACTGAACTATATTATACTATATGATATAACCACGACATGGTGCACTCGCTAGGGTTGATCTTTCAAGGCGACAGGTTTCTTCGCGTCCTTATTGCAATGAATGGCTAATTTCTGCCTCTCAGGGGCCAAGGCGGTCTCGGTCGATGAAGGCAATGTTAGGCATGGAAGCCACGAAGAGTTGAAAAGAAGAATCTTCTAGCAAGGACGAAGCCCGCACTGCGGAGTAGTCTGAAGAAACAGTGGACTACGGCCTCGAGATTGTGGCTTAGGGCTTAGGGTTACATGCGGCTTCATGGGGCTTTCCATGCACATCTTTCAACTACGCAACCACGCGACAAGCGCAACACCCTTGCTGACGTCAAGGTAAACAGCTCCGAAGCTCTTAGGGTAACATTCCACCGCCTGCATCGATATCTGATTCGGCCTTGGAGATGGAAGGAACCCAAGCAGCCTATCACGACCCAGTGCACAAAGTCATTCTAAGCCATAGCAAGGAAACCAACACTAAGAGTTTAGGGCCTCGGGTTTCAGCGCCCCTGAAACTGAAACTCCCACGACGTGCCGGGCATCTTCTCGATCTCCGGCAGCTCTGTCGAAGGGGACTTCTCCTCAGCGCCGCTTTTTTGCAGTCTTCAGCTTAGGGCTTAGGAGCTGTGCGGTTGGCCTTCGATGACGATAGACACCCTCCTCGGGAACATGCTGAGCTTAGAAGCCTACTGTCAAACATGTCGGCCTGGTGTTGTTGTCAATTTGGTGCTGACGATTTCGTGAAAGGAAACACCCACCAACTTGAACCCCGGAAGCCGCTGCAGACCACCGGCAAGCGCCAAGTACACAACCCAAGACAACTTTTCACACATGGAGTTGCCTTTGTGGGGGTTTAAACCCGTGGAAACCCTAAAGCCAAGTTTCGCAAATCACCGGCACGCGATCTGGGTACTTGGCCAAGATCCGGGAGGCCTCCCGCTTCTCGAAAACATATCGGCTTAGGGGAAGGCGGGACTCGCGTCTGTGGCTCGGTATGTCTCAGTAGACGGATTTGCAAGTCCAGCCCCTTCCTATCTCTGCACTTGGTCTTTGACTTCAAGACTCCAAACAATTCCATATCCTCGAAAGTTATGCTGCTCCTGAGAACTTTGAAGCGCGGCACAACATCAAGACAAAAACGTTGCTGGCTGGAACCTCAGAAATAGTGTTTTGAAGACATCACAAGTTATAGGATAATTACTAGTCGTATTACGTGCTCTGACCCAGCCAGCCTCGGCAGCCCTCTTCTCGAAGGGGATCGACTCTTGAAGCGGGGCATAGGCGACATCGGCCATGGTGGACGAACCTTCGACTTGCATGAACGAGCACAGCATAGCAGCATGGCTCCTGGTGTGGGGTTCCTTGCTTGCTGAAATCCCGCGGACATGACACACAACTCCCCCCGGCACCTTGAGACGGCTGAAACCCATACTAAAAGCCCAGCAGACGTCTGAAACCCATACTTAGGACAGCAGATCTTGGAAGACATCAGATAGTGACAAGGACACTGGATTCCAGCATGTGACAAAGCACGAAGGTAACATAAATACATACATACATACACACACACACGCACAAACCTGCATGCACAAAAGCACGACCAATAAACACGCATGCAGGTATGCATGCATGCATGCATGGATGCATGCATGTGGCTACGTATGTACCTGTGGACTGATGCCTGCATGCATGTTTGTATATACATGTATACACACACACACACATATATATATATATGTACAAACATGCATATGAGTGTGTGTGTGTGTTCGTGCACACATGCTGCCTGTATGTAGCTGGATGCAGGATCATATTGTGCAAGGTTGCGTGTGCATGCACACATGCACATTTTCTGATGTCGTCCTTTTTCTGTCTCTGCCCTTTTCTACTCCTGGTTCTTATCTTACGGCCAACGATGTCTGCATGATTGCATGCGCATGCATGTCAACACACAAACGCCGACGAAGGTATCATAGTAGGCTACTTCTCTTTGTATATATTCTTACAACAACAAACTTGCACCGTGCGGGAGAACAACCACTAGGTTTCAAGAATTGTCATGAGTGGAAGTATTCGGATATAACATGCATGCTAAGAAACGAGTACACACACACAAAGGGGGAGAGAGAGGGAGAGAGAGAGGGAGAGAAGCGACCCAACGCTAAAGATTTGAAGCTAGTGCTGAACTTCTGAAGTTCAGGGGTGCAGGTAAAGGACTTGGTTGGCCGTTTGGAGCTCAACCGCGAGGGATTCAAATTATTGGGTTATAGTTGCCGGGAACTGGTTTCGCGGGTTTGCCTGTCGGGATCCGAACCGTCGCTTTAGTCATGATGCATTCCGAAACACTGGCGGATTTGATACTCTCAAGCCTCTGAACAGAGTCTGCCACTGTGGTGAGACGAGCGGCGGAATCCAACAGCAAAAGCTTCCCTGCACTTCGCTTCTGCGCGGTTTTCGTGAGCCCCAGCAGCACTCGAGCCGAAAAGCAGGAGTTGTGACAAGCTGCAATTTTTTGCATGCGATGTCTTGTCGTATGTTTGTAGCGACATCGTATTGTTGCTTCTCATGCTTGGCATCTCTGTCTGAGTCTGTTGTATCCTGCGTATGGGGTGAGACGGGGGATGGCGGGGTACTTGCTTCAACAGGGACTTCAGGCATTTATGCTTGAACGTGTTCAATGCCCAAGCCCGCGAAGAGCATCTGTGCCTTTTGCACGATGAGCGTCTGCACCGAGTTGTGGCACACCCTCCGGAGCAAGAGTAGGAGGCGCAGATACGATTGCGGCAAAATCAAGACTAGCTACAACGACAAGCTTAACGGCATCAGCCACTAGAAGGTACGAGAATGATGCCAATCATTTTCTCAGCAGTCTTGCTGAAGTTCGTCGGCAGTTGCAAATGTGGGAAGCTGTGATAAGCCGTGCTGACGTGCTGCTGAAAACGACAAGGCTTCAGTTTGCCACCGGGGAAAGCCTTGTTTTACTGTCAGGTGTTGGGTTTGGCGGCGGCGGTGCTAGTCCAAGGTTGATGCCAACCGTGAGAATTGCGTTTCAACTCGAGACAATGCTCAGGAAAATAACAACTTTATGTTGGTGTCCACGAGTTCTGCCACCCGTTTTTGTTAAGAGGAGACTGTGAAATCCATGCGCCCGATACCTCCCTAAGCACATTTGAGCAGTTAAAGAGCGGGTTGCGCAATTCTGCGGATTGCTTCAAAGAGCGCAGAAACAGCTCAACTGAGCATGTACATGGGCTCTTGTGCCTGTAAGCTTGTCTTTCGTGGCTTCTATGGGTATTGAACGGGGTGGGAACCGTTACATAGCAAATAGCAAATCTATTGCCCGGACCCCGACCCAGCCGGAAACATTCCGAGGCTGTGGCATGGCTTTGTCCTTCCAAGCGAGCCTTAGCTGCTAAACAGTGAAGCCTGGGAAGTCTCCTGGTTAGATGGCGGCTTCAAGCGTCGGGGCTTTTTGTGGGGCATCCGCTTCAAGATTTGCTTTACACCTGATCTCTTGCGCATTCTGGAATAGCTGCGCGTAAGATTGCGCTGCTGAGCGCTTCAGGATGATCTCCTGTAACCATGGGACAATGCACTGCACTAAGGCCATCACAAGACTTCCAGCGCCTGGCGGACATGCGGACAAGTTGAGGTGGGAGCAGGAATGCGCAGGGTGTACCGCTTCGGGTGCTTAGGGTCGGCGGTATGAGTGGCAACAGCGGTGGAGGCAGGAGGCCATAGGCCGTGAGAGCTGCACCTACCACAGTCCCTGGCCAGCATTCCGCACATGCTAAGGGAGGAGAGCGAGAGAGAGAGAGAGAGATCCTAATTCTACAAGCAACCTTCAGCGTGGAAGCCCACAAGCCCATGCTCGGAAGGTCAGCTTCAAAAATGTGTGGTGCGCACCCGGTCCAAAGAAGTGGGGTCGCTGCGTCTCAGATCCATCCTTGGGGAGGCGCTTGAGGTTTCGAGGGGTTTCTCAGGGACCTCACGGGGCTCTGGGCTGGTTGTTGCTGTCAGCTTGGAGCTCTTGGCTTGGGGCAGCATAGCAGCCTGGCAGGCAGGGATCTGGGATCTGCAGCAAGAACCAGTACGGCCTGGCTGGGCATCTCCACACGGAGTCCTTCAATGATTCAAGCCTTCGAGCTCAGATGGAAGCAAACCCAAAGCAGTACACAAGAATCAGACGCGACGGCCAACAAGCTACTGTGGGCAGAGCTATAAAACAATTCTCGCGATTCTTGGCATGGCATGATGTGTTCCGTACAACACCAAAGGCTGGCCAACACGAGCGTCGGGATTGTAATCGCAAAATTGACATGTACCGACAGGAGCGAAGTCTAGATGGTCGGCCTCCCCTGACCCGGAGATCTCCCTCAACCATAATTAGGAACACCGGAACACCCGCAGCCAATTTTCCCAGTGCAGACTTGCCATTTTGTCTGCTCCGCTGCCGCTGTCCAAACAGCCTCCAGGCTCGAAAGTTCATCGAACCTCGAACATCTTGAGAAGAGCTTGCATGGACTTGGAAACAGATCCAAGACCAAGACATGTCACTATACGGCATACAGTGAACCGTGCATGCTTCTTCGGCTGCATGATCAGTGATCCGAAGCAGAGATGAGCAAGTCGCGCACATAGCCTGGCAGCTTGGGGTTTGCCGGGATCTTGGACAGGCCGCGATCTTTTTTTTATCAAGGTCCCCGGCAACAAGAGCTGGAGAAGTTGAGTCAGTTCCGGCACCGACATCGAAGCCTATTGACAGATAGTTCTGGACGCAGGCACGCTGTTTAAAGGCCTGCGAAGCTGCAGGAGAGCAGACCAGAAAACAGCCAGAACCAAATCTGACTCCCCCATCGCACATGAGTGGCAAAGGCGCCTCCAAGCTCCAGCTTTCCTGACGATCGTATAGTGGGAGATGTAATGTGACATGATATGTTTTTTTTAAGTATGACATAAAATTACATACTATCACATAGCAATATGTGTAATAATATATATATATATATATATATATATATATATATATATGCGACGCTTTCTGTGTGTATATATATATATATATATACGCACATTCCATAAAGCTTTGGTTTAGGGCTTCGACCCTCGGCACAGCCAGGCTCTCTCGACCAGCACACCTAAGACCCGACACTCCACACTCTCAGCCTGTCTCTGGTAGAGGCTTACAGATGTCCGACTTAGGTTTGGACTTCTTGAGCCTTGGGACTGGGCGCGTGGGCTTTCCCGTGTTTCTGGTCGCTGCTTCTCGGAACCCCAACCAGGCTGAGTTGGCAAACCTGGCACCCTCAATTACCCATCGGAAGCCCTCAGCCTTAGCCCGCAACTATGGCCCTATATAGTTTAAACCAAGGAAACCTTCACAGTCAAAGGAAGGCCAACGGCTTCGAATCATCGCAGGCTTGCCAACAAGAGGCTCACTTCCACCCACCTCCTGCAGTATGGGCAATGTTGCACGATTCCGCTTAAAACCCAACAACCCCCAAAATATCCCGAATAGGACCGGAGCCTGGGACCCTTTGGTACTGCCCTACAAGCCACTTTCTACCATAGTCAGATTTCTACAGGATGCCGCTCTCCTACTCGACTCTTGGCATGACAATGAGCTCATCAGAGGCTTCTGCTCGGGCTTCTTTGTTAAACGGATTTTTCGTGCGTTGTGATTCCAACCTCAAGACTGTTTCTCTTCCATGACCTGTTTAAAGCCGGTGGTGGCGAACCCACAGCATCCGAACCCGACAGCCGTCGTTCAGAACCTAAGATAACTCCTGCAATAGCTACAGCGAGATCACTCCCTCCCTGGCTGGTCCTCGCATCTGCGAAGAGCTGCTGAACCCGGAAGTCCTGTCAAAGCCAGGTGGGCTTGCGATAGGCTCGGCCAAATTGGGATACCTTGATCGTGAATCGCAAAGTTGAAGGACATCGGGATGCTTTGGCTTAACATGCGAAAACCGATGCCTGGTCCGGAACTTTGGCGCAATGATGCCCAGAAACATTGTCATACCTTTCTTGGTTTAGGGCTTGCTGTTGTGCCCCTAAACCTTATAAACCCTGGCTGAGGGTTTCGGGTTTAGGGCTGCGTTGCGCAGGCATGATGAGGATACCCTTAGTAATTATCCAACACCTGTACTACACAATTGCTTGGTGCAGGGTTTGCTGCTGCCTACACCACTTAGGGTGTATACGACTGACTATTCCAGACTCCTTTTCGGTTTATTTCGGGCTCCCCTGTTTTTGAAAGCCTTGGGCTTGCGGTGTGCAAGGAGGGGGGTCAGGCCTCTTGCCCGGACACGCGGGCAAAACGAGACTCAGAACCGATGGAGCCTCAACTGCAAAGTGATACAAGTATGCTCGATTATGAACCAAGAAGTAAGATCAAACTCTGCACTAAAGTTGGGCTTCATCCGAGTTGTGCACACGCAGACTCGTATATGCACTCAGGCAGATAGATAGGCAGAAAGACATAGATGAAGGCAGAGAAGGCACACAGAGATAGATAGACAAACAGACAGATAACCAAGATAGCAAGAAGCAACCTGTACAGTATTGCGTGAGCTCGCTCTCTCTCTCTTTGCTTTGCTCGGGGTTTGAGGCGGGTGCAGGCCACCCTCTCTCTCTCTCTCTCTCTCGTGAGCTTTTCTTTCGCCAAGGTTGTGGTGAGAGGCATTTCCCCCCCTGCCGCCAAGGTTGTGGTGAAAGGCATTTCCCCCCTCGCCGCGCGCTTGTGCGCCCCCGACTGTTGCGGGTGCCAACATGTTGCAATGACGCAGGTCAGGGGAGAGCTGTTAAGCAAGTCCAGTGCTTAGGCCCAAGTCTTCCTCAGTTTCTAGCCTTCAGCCTTTGAAGCCCCAAGAGACGTAGGCAACCCTGGCACCGCGGGCCGAACTTCAGAGATGGCAAGCGCTGAGAGAGAGAGAGAGAGAGCTCACGAAGCGCTTCTTTTTCCTTAGCCTGACGAATTTGGCTTGACGGGCCGCTGGAGCCTTCCTCAACTTCTCTCCTGAATCCCTTGCCTAGCGCACGGATTACATGTTACTGTTACGTATTTAGCAGCAAAGCTCTGTAGTTGGTGGGTTTCTGCCCCAATTTTCGCTGCAAAAGCAGGCATCAGCTTATCATGTCTGCGATTTTGGTATACTCGTGTCCTGTGTGTCGGAACGTTGCACTTTTTCTTTTTGTTTTTTTCTAAACTTGTGGCCTTTCCGACTCCACGCCTTAAAAGTGATCACGAGCTCTGTCGGTCGAGCCACTTGTAGTAGTATCCAGAACCGCAGAGGCATTGGCCCAGTACGCTGATCTTGCCCTCAGTTACAGCCAGTCTTGCAGAAATGTGCGAACCTCCGACGGCCAGGCACAGGCAAACCTCAACGGCAAAGTCCGACATCCGGAACCAGCGGACCACCCCCACAACTAGCCGTATTTTAGATGCTCTGCATGTCTTGTCAATGTATTTCAGAGTTGAAGGGCTACTAAAAGTCTGAATTGCAGCCCGGGCACATGGTCAAACTTCGTCGCTTTACCATTCCTTCACAGGACATTTGTGATTCTCCAACAGGCCGTGCTGCATCTGAGAACCAGCCTTACATGGAAAAACTGTTAACACAAGATGATCACCGAACCTCGTTCTTTGGCACATCCAACAATGGCAGTGGGGTGCAACGGCCCATAGCAGCGCTGGTGGCGGTGGTAGCAGTATAGCCGTGGTAGTAGTGGTAGTAGTCGTCGTCGTAGTTGTGGTAGAAGTAGTAGTAGCAGCAGCAGCAGTAGTAGCAGTAGCAGTAGTAGTAGTAGTAGTAGTAGTAGTAGTAGTAGTAGTAGTAGTAGTAGTAGTAGTAGCAGCAGCAGCACTAGTAGCAGTAGCAGCAGCAACAGAAGAAGGTAGCAGCTATAGTATAATTAGTGATGGCCGGGAATTGCGGCCTTCTGTCGGATCCCAGCACCGGTACAGATTAACACGGCAAGCTCTCTGACTCTGACAGAAGTGCGAAACATTGCCACCCGAAGCCTCAAAAAGGACAGACGGACACTACCAATCCAAATTCAAGCCTGCCCTAATACCAGTATCCCAATCGCAAGAATATCCTTCCACCCCAAAGCCACGAACTTCACATCCTCGCTGACAAGTTTCTTGGACCTGCCCCATGGAAGAAGGTTGCATTCAGCATTCTCCAGCTGGCATGATCCCCTGTCGAGAGTTCAGATGCTGAGGATCTATTGCCCGTGTTCCCGATTACAAACCTTCTCTGATGATCCGGCAAAGCCCTTCAGGGTGGAATGAGTTGCCTCAGCATATCGGCTTGGGGATGGCTTACAGTCTGTTTGTGTCGCAGTCGGATTGTCGATGTCTAACAGTTGAGGACTCACAGCGTTGGGTCCTTTCATGTCCTATAGACGGAAAACATCATACTTCCTGCCAGCGTAAGGAAAATTTTGTGAGCAGCCGGCAGCAAAAGGCCTCAAAGCCACAACTACACACATATAGCTCGAACCTCGCGAACTTGTGACAGAAGCCGAAGGGATTGCCATTCTTTTCGTTCATCTTTAGCCTGAGCGCAAATGGGTGGGGTTCGCAGGACAGCAGCCAGACCAGTTTCCAACGGCAGAACTTGCGGTTTTTCATCTTCCGGATTCCGGACCACGAACACGGCTTGCCTCGAATTTGGCTGCCAAGACACTTGTCGAACACATCGTGCGCATTGCACTGATCATGCCTCATTTAACTGCTGGACGCTAAAACCCTGCTCTTAGATGTCACCACAACCGGCGATCCGTTGATTCGAGGCTACGAGAAAGAAGCGGCAGAGAGCCGGAGAAGTGGGTTGTGGCTTCGTAGCCCTACGAAAGGTTGGATGTGGCGCGAGTGGGGATCGGATGTGGTGTGTCGATGTTGATGTACAAGGACTGTCAAAGGACCCTGCGGCGAAGGATTCTTGTCGACCCAATCTCAGCGACACCCCGACATGCGAGCTCCTCCGATCAATGCATTTGGGTGTGAAGGCCACCTTTCCGCATCGGGGTTTGTGGCTAGGGCTTCTGGACGTCATGGATGCGGTACTGTTTGCCGACGAGCAGCACATCGAATTACAGTAGTATGTAATTCTAAGATGTTCTCTCGCGTGTACATACATGAGCTTCTACGTATACCCGAACTCACAAGAAACAACCCAGCCAATGCAAACCCGTCTTCATTATTCGATGGCCTCATTCATTGTCATGTACCTGTAATTATAGAACAGTGTCGATGGCGAAGACACACAAGGCCCTTTTCACCAGACTTGCCTGGGTCCTGGACTGCTTCGTTCAGGCTTTTGCAACGAAAGGATGCCGCGAACAGCGGAACAGGTGCTAGCCGCTGCTAGCCTGACAAATCTCCTTGCCTGCACCCGCCCCGAGAATAAAGTCAAAGCAAAGCTGCGCCATGTGCAACTGCCTGCACAGGGCTCGCGCCGACTGTTCTGCGTGAAGGCCCCACCAGATGAGGAAGTCTTCAAAGCCTTGGCTCCGTGACTCCGGCTCAACTCGGGCAAGCTCTGAAAGGATCTAACGGAATCTAACGTCACGGCAGCCTCCAGTAAACCTCTGCAAGGCGTGACTCGCAAGAAACAGCAGCGGCAACCAGTAGCCTTAGCCATCGTCGAAAAATCGAGTGGCGAAGCCAGCCGGCACCATGAGGACCTAAGGCATTCAGGAAACGCTATCGTAGATTAGCATGGAACTCCGTGTGATTGCAACAACAATCCAGGAGTTTCGACAGACACCCCAGAAATCCTTCTTAAAGCCTCTTGCAAAGCCATTCCGGGAAAGCATATGCCCTTATGTTCCCTGTGTGCGTATGCTACTACAGTATATGGTCCCAGATTTTGTTATAATTATAATCGTTGAGGCCCGTATGCAAAGTGCAGAGAACCCTGTGAACCTGTTAGAAAAAAGCCTCCGCAACTCCTGTCTAAAACCTTACAAAGTCCAAAAAATCCAGGCCTTCTCAAAAAGACCCCTTAGCTGACTGCCTCGGAAATCCAAGCGGCCCGTGATGTTGGCGGCTCCCCGAGGCGACAGGCTGAAATCGTCTAAGGAGGCGAACCTTCAAAAGGGGGCTTATTTTCGCAAGAAACCATGGCCTGACCATCATGACATCTATGGGCTAAGCCGTTCGAAGCGTCCATGGCCCAACCATGGTGACGTCCATGGTCGAATGCGATCTGAATTCTTTGACTGCATGGCGATCGAAGCTTTCCCTCGAATTGCCGACATGTGCAAAATCACAGATGTGCAGAAAATTACAATACTTGCTGGGTTTCGTGATGCGACCGAGCACAAGGGCGGCAGGTTATTGCTTTTTTCCCTCCGCCTCGCAAGGATGAACCCGCATAGTAGGGTGGTGTTTTTTTTTTTGGGGGGGGTCTGGGGTTTCGTGTGTTAAGGTGTTATTGCATTTACAGCTCCGAGGGGCTCCGAATTCCGGGAAGGGGGTCCGCAGCTTACAGTCCTTTGCTTTGTCAGTGATATGTCGCTGTTTTCTGCTATGCTTCTGCAGGCCGGTGGGTCAGATGTTGTGATCCTGAGGTGTGATTCTAAGGTCCTTAGTTGCCTCTTCTCATTCCTCGTGTGTCTTTTGGCGTTCCTCTTCCTCTCGTTCTCGCACGGGTATTTCCCGGCTGTTCGAGAGTGCACAAGAGATGTAGTGGGCAGCGGCTCCTCTGAAAGCTGACATAGGCTTCGGAGTCACTACCAGAGAGAACATGAAACGAGGGGAGGCCCTTCACTTTGACTCTGCCTTCTAGCAGGCGGACGCAGAATCTCCACCCCAAGTCGACGTGCAAACCTGCAAAACCTACCTTTCGGAGTGTGCAGAAAGCATCCGACCAGACCTGGTGCTTCAAAAACGAATTAAGATGGGAAACCTGTCGCCCTGAACACTGAATTTGAAGGCAAACAAATTACTCTGCAAGAGAAACAGGCGGATTGCTGAAAGCGGCTGTGGAGCCTTGCGTTGACGACCTTGAGGTTCTCCAATTCCTGTTTGCTCTCGCAACTCGGACTCGCTGAGAGGGTTTCGGTTTGCATGTCCAAATCATTACGAAGGATTCAAGGCTCGCTACGGCGCGAAATTCGCGTCTGAGGTGCAGGGCTTGGTGGGCTGCAGATTCAGGCATGGGTTGAAGCCTTCTGGCTTCAACCGACACGAAGAAGAAATTACAAGGTATCGAAGTCTCAGGAGTTCTAAGCTCTGTGTCCGAACACGTAGGAACTTCGCAGTCAGACAAGTTGACAGAAGTCCGATGTGACATCGAGTTCTGAGAAGCCAGCATCATATGAAACCATGCGGACATACGAAAACGTGTCATATCGCCTACGGTTGAAGCCTACACGGTTCTGCACCCGTCCTTATCTACTTAATCCCAAAATTCCGTACTAGTACTCTAGTATGTTCACAATCATGACTAAAATATAAAAATTAAAACAACACGATTGAGCCCGAGCTCTGATACCGAATCCTGCCTCGTACAGCTTCTTGAACTCTGCCGAGTGGGGAATCTCTGATCGCCTCAGCAGTTGACATCTCTTGAAGACACTTAGTGCAAAGGAGTCTTTGGAGAAGGGGCCAGTGAAGACTGACTTTTGCACTAAACACTGGCGACAAGCAAAGAGTTACTTTCTGAGCTCGCTCCAAGAGAAAATGACCACAGGAACGCAGCATCTTTCTAAACTGTTTCTAAGCTGGAGGTCTTTCGAGCCAGAACCTCCAGGGACCTACGAACATTAAGGGTGAATTTGAGCCCCAGCTCGTCGTTTTCGACTCGCACACTCCACAAATCCACGAGTAGACAAGCGCAAATATACGAGTATTAATCGCAATATGCGACAGGAGCAAATAGCATGACAGCAGACATAGTTCTAGCATTTTTGAACTCTGAGTCCCTAGGTTCAGGATGCATCAGCTATGCCAACCGTGAAGTACAGAAGGCCCAAACCTACAGAAGACCACACATCGATGCACACAAGCTGAAAACCCAAGTGGGACCCTGACCCAGCCGGGTCCCAAGCAAGTTTCGCACATCCATGGCCAGTTCCAGCTTGTTCAGGTGTTCCTCCAAAGTTTCAAGGGCCTCGAAAGCCTGCGTGCAGGAGAAAGCTCGTCGGCTTTGGCATGGTTGGAATTCGGAGGATCCCCCTCCGAAGTTCTTTGTTACCAGCGGTTGTCCCCTGGCTTCAGTGTGGATGCGTTGTCATGCTGCACTACAAAACCTGAGCCTTTGATCTCGTAGGAGCCACCCATGTTTAGACAGTTCGGGTAAGGCATCGCGTGGAACTTTTCAGCACTCTCATGAGAAGTCCGACGCCCTGCGGGCAAATGCAGAAAACTAGCGAATTACCGGCCAGGCACGATTGGGGCAAAGCTTTGCAGCCTGCTCACTATACGGCGTCGCAACGTGTGTGCTGACAGACTGGTCGGGACAAAAGAAAGAGTGATGAGATCAGATGGCCCTGAACTGGTATGGACTGCCAAAAGTTTTGATACCAGTTGGCGGAGACTTCTCACGAATTACCAGTCAGGGCCTATAACTTATTAGCGCTCCAGCACTAACATGAGAACAAAGGCTGTGCTTCGCCATTCAGGCTATACGGCGACTGCCTCAGGGAAAGATGGCGCTCTGATCTGCCTTCTGAGCTGCCAGCTCCACCAAAGCAGCGACAAAACTCTCCTCGCCCACGGGCTCATCCAATGACTTTGCCTATGCACTGATTCAATTCCAGGTTCAACTATTAGGTTTTGTTATAGTAATTGTGTGACGACGGACTATGCTGAAGTTCAAGAAAGATTACCAACTGCGCCAAGCATCCGCATGGCAGCTACCGCATTTGCTGTTGACGCACGAGGTACAAGCCGCACCGTTGGCATTGGCGGCGCAACCCGAGAGGCATCTCTTGATTGTGCAGCTGATCTTCCGACCGAAACAGCTGGCACATCCTGGCGAGACGCCCTTTCCGGTGAGGCATCGAGCCGCGCAGCTTGCTTGGTTGCTGGAGGAGTAGCATTGGGTGCCACATGTCTTCATCAAGGCTTGGACTTCAAAGCAACCGCTGCGAGTCGAAGGCTCTTCCAACTCGACCGGGACCGTTGCGTTCTCCTTGGCTGCCTGGGCCTGGGCCTCCTGGGCCCCAGCAAAAACTTCCATGAGCGCTTCGAGAGTGGAAGCGTTCTCTGCGGCATCCTGCGGCTCGGACTCGCCAGAGCGAGCTCGGCTGCAAAGACCACAGTTCGAGCTGATGCAGGACGTGCAGATTGGCTTGTTGAAGCCAGTTGTGCAGGAGCCTAGGCATGAGCTGACACCGCAAGTAAAGCCCCTGCCCAGGCAAGAAGCGCATGAAGAAGACACGCCCTGGCCGATGAGGCAGTTGGAGACGCACGTGGCCTTGCCGGCTCCGGGCACACCGAAGCAACGTCCGCCGCAGCTCTGCAGTTTGGGCTTGTTGTCAAACAGGCAGTGCCCACAGACCTGGAAGATCAGAATGTTGAACAACGCAACCTGAATGGCGGATCCCATTGCGATGCTGGTGGCTAGCGGCTAGCGAATCAACGGCACGCGTGCTGCTTTCTTGGGCAAAGAGCTCCAGTCAACCCGACAGCTCCACATCCAATACAGCATTGCTGCGGCTCACGACTGCGATTCATGTGCTTCGCTTTCTATATTGATCCCTCGCAGATATGCATGTGACCAGCCACCCTGCACGCGCAACGAACGAATCTGAAAACTTTGCAAGCGACTCTAAGCCGTGAGCACTCCGACGGCCTCTTGGAGGATCTCAGCCGCGTAAACGAAAACGCTGTGTGGTTCTGTGGAACATGCACCTGACTGCCAAGATCTCACAATACAGTTTCGTCATGTTTCGTCGGATAAACCCAGGTTGGAACGATCTGCAGTACGTGAAATTGAAAAAGAAGTCTACGTCTACGTCGTGCAGCACGTGCAGTCTTGGAGTTGCAGGCTTGGCTCCCTACACATGTGTTGTGCAAGTTGTCTAATTAGTATCACAAGGCTCAGGCTTGGCAAGACTCTTGCTGGCAGCTCGTCATTCACTCCAAACATCTGTAACCCAAACCACAGTATCAATCTAAACCACAAGCCCTGCAATTATCTTCACTCATACCCTGAGCGCTATCTCACCTGTTTTTGATCTCACCTAAAACCTAGACTATCAGGCCACAAACCTGCTATCCAAAAGTCCGTCCGTACAGACACATCGGGATTGGGGTAGGATATGGCGTACCTTCGAAGCCCTGACGATTCTCGGGCCAGTCATTGGCGTATGCCAGAAAAATGAAGAAGAAATCCTCGGCTGCAAGGGATTTGCACAACTCGCAGAACCCAGACGAGGTCGCAGGGGCTTTCAGGCTTTATAGTGCTGCAAAAGCTGCCTCTTTATTGGCTTCGGGATTTGGGAGCCCTGAAACTTAGTGTCGTGTTTGCTTTCGAGTGGCCGTCGCAACTCACGGTCTTGGTGATTCTGGGAAGGCCGAGGTCTAGGCTTAGAAGAAGATAAGTGGCTGTGCTCTGTCCTTCTGAAAGCACGGATGCCGGAATCCCTGAAACACCGGGTCACACACCGTCCTACTCAGTGATGATATCCTGTCATAGGCCCCAGATCAGAAAAACACATAGCAAACCTCGGCCCCAAACCTCTAAGGAGGGCGGCCGAAATCCTGAACTCTGCTCGGCCCTCGGAGGTCAAACGAGGAACCTTCCCTTCTGCGACTTTGCTGTGAGAGTGAGGGCAAGCGATTCAGAGACCACGCGGAGTAAGGCGCAGCTCAGTTTGACTGAGCAGACTTGCATGCGAGGACTGTGTCGGCCTCACCAAACGAGAAAGACAAGATGGAACCTCCCAAGACCCACGACTGCTGATAGATATGGGGCAGTGTATGTGCGCAGCACCAAGGAACATCAAGAACACTAACACCACAAAGGAAAACTGCCGCTCTCTTGGCTTCTTTTTTGAGCAAGAGGCGGTAATGATGGGAAATGTAGCCAGGTGCTGGAGCGTCCGCAGAGCTGTAACAGCCACATGCATCTTAACCTCAGTGCTTTGGGACTTCCGGAGGGATAACATGTTCATGGGGTTCCAATCCTGTCCTGATGATTCCAAGTTTTAACCTCTGAGCCCCGAGATGGTATGGGTCTCAATAAGGAACCCAGCGCTTGAGGGTTCCGAACTAGGTTTGCTCGTGGTGGGTATAAACGGAATAAACTGGCGGGGCGTTTTTGGCATAGCCAGCCGTCCAGAAACTTGACTATGACGACGAAGTTCTTGACACTTCTGTGCAGACAGTGCTTCTGGGCAAGGCACACCACCCTGAAGCCGACCCTTGAAGCACCTAACACTACGAACCTATGCCGTGTCTCATTCTGGAGTCATGCAAGGAGAGAAAAAGCACATGTCCCGCATATGTCATGTATGTGCATAGAAGCCTCCTTTGACATCTTCATTCGTGCGCATGAGACATGTGTGGTAATCACGCAGCAAAGGCGCGCTTTCGCAGTCCTTGCACGTCACCTTCGGGATGTGCCAACGAAGCTGCGAGCTATCGTTGAAGCAGTCAATGTGCATAGCTCCTTTGGCTAACCTGACGGAGATGCCCGCCGCAACGGCGCGCATCAGAGGGCAACAAAAATAGAGAAAAGCATATTCAGCCTGTCTTCGGGCTCGCAGACGTGTGCAGAAACCAGCAAAAGAACTATCTACTTCGGCATGAATGCTGGAAGCATCTGCCTCGTTGCCTCGTATCTAAAGCAACCCCCAAGCGAAAACAAACACACACACACAGATACACACACACAGATACACACACACAGATACACACACACACACAGATACACACACACACAGACACACACACACACGCACACAGACACACACACGCACGCACACAGACACACACACACACACACAGACACAGACACACACACACACACACACACACAGACAGACACACACAGAGACACGCACACAGACACACACACACACACACACAGACACACACACACACACACACAGACACAGACACACACACACACACACACACACAGACACAGACACACACACACACACACAGACACACACACAGACACACAGACACACAGACACACAGACACACACACACACACACACACACACACACACACCCACACCCACACCCACACCCACACCCACACCCACACCCACACCCACACCCACACCCACACCCACACCCCCACCCACCCCCACCCACCCACCCCCACCCACCCCCACCCCCACCCACCCACCCACGTGCGAGCGAACCCACACGCACGTACATGCCCTGAATAGCGTAAACATATAGACAGAAACGTGTACATATAGATAAGCGTAATATGTGTGTATATATATATATAGAGAGAGAGAGAGAGAGAGAGAGAGAGAGAGAGAGAGAGACTGTGCAACTGGAGACAGAGATCGATACATGCATCTGACAAGATAGCTTCTATAAGCTCTAAACTCGTAGAAGCGCTCACGGAACAACAAATTCGCCCTCTCACGTGACAATCAGCGTAGCGCTTGCGCGGCACCACTGCGCAGAGTATTCTTGACTTTCGCGTCGCTACCCGCACACACTATCCGTGCGCATGATGACGTTCGGGCTGACTCGATGATGCCTCGGACAAACAATGCCAGCTCGACCCAGGACGGTGGGTGATACGCAGTGTTAAGATTCGGTGGGATGTTTGGGGTTCAGCATCGCAACCCCAAGCAAGCACGGCAGGACTTTCTGCCGAAAGGGCTTGGAAACCCTATAGCTGTCGTCTCAACCTGCCAGCCTCTCAAAATCCCCGACGGCAGGATTCAGCTCAAACTTCTCAAAGAACTCCCAGGAAACACAAGTTGAAAATACTGAGGCGGCTCCTCGTGTTAGAACGCTCTTCGGCTGAGTCGCGAAGAGCCGACGTCAAAGCCCACAGGACCAGTATATAGTCCCAAACTCAAGCTCCACCCAGCATAGATGTAGGTGCCTGTAGGGCTTGTTTAAGCACATCGAAAAGGTAATCGATTCTTCGGGATGCCAGGACGTCGGAAAGATTGTCGCACACTCTCCATCCTCACACGTTGCCATACGTGTTCAAGCACTTGTTTCTTGTAACTAGAGTACGAGAACTGAACAACTAATACGGGATTATCAGGGTCTACCGCTTCGGGATGCTGCTTCAAGACTTGGCGAAGGCTGTTTTATTCAAGGCTCAGGATATGCGCGGCTCAGGAAGTCATATGAGGAAGACGCTTTATCAGGCCTTAGGAAGGTTGAATGAACACATGTGACGCTCAAGCCTCTGCGAAAGCTAACAAGTCATGTCGACCTGGTGGTTCTTCACGACCGACAAGTGAGTGTGTAAGGTTTTGGTTTCCAGCCCTCGATATCAAGTAGCGCTATATAAAGTCTTTGAATCCCGGTCGGCTGCTTAGTGCTGGAAACCTTGCCCTTTTTTCGCAAACTGATGCCACTCTGCGTAAAGCCAGGCCTGATGAAAGGCTTCCCTGCTTCGCTGTTCACCCACAAATTGAAACGTGACTTTCAGCATAGAACCGAAGCAAAAGAACGTTGGATGTCACCGTAAGCCAAATTGTCTCGCAGCCTTGGGTACCTGGCTTCCTGAGGTGGCGTGGGAGCTTCGTTGCCTGCCAACTGAATTGAACCCTGCGTGGAGTATGATTGCTTTCTACTAGCAACGACATCCCCAGTATGGACAACCCGCATTGTACAACTACTCAGTATAGATTTAGCAAGACCCTTTTCCTGTTCCGAAGCTTCGTTCTCGCAACCTGGCCGCCGGCCTGGATCGCGAGTAAGAGGCTTGTATGGTGGGCCGCCCAAGCGCTCATCTCCATCGATCTGCGCAGCGTGGGACGACTTTCGATGGCTCAAAGCTTGCCGGAAGTGCGACGAACCGTATAAATCCTGAACTCGCACCCGAGGGTTAGGATCGTTGAGTACCTCTTGCAAGTTTTCCCACAAGCAGTGCTACCAGCTGCCAGGATATGCAAACAGTACCAGGGGTCCCTGGACTATCATTTGGGCCATGACTGTCTTCAGACGAAGAAAATGGTCGGTAGTTGCGCAACAGGGCACGACGAAGGGAACCAATTTGAAACACACGTTTAACCTGCAACACACGGCACGCCGAGTTGCTAAGTTCACTCTGACTCCTACTTAAGCCTTTGTCGGCGTCTCAGTCATTCCTTGGCAGCAGACAATCACCACAACTAAGGCCCATCCCTGATTTTCAAGTGTTGGGAGACTGCGCAGCTTCCCGTCCTATGCCCTGTTACTGCTCAGCCCTTGACATCCTAAGCTGCGGAGGAGTATCAAGGGGAGGAACTCCCTACTAGAATCTGCCGGCCCGGACACTCATTCTATGGCAACTTTCACAGTACAAAGCCAACCATCACTTACCTCTAAATATTCCCTGTTACCACCAGTGGGCTTAAGTCTCGCCAGACCTCCGCCGCCAATCATCTTCCGAAAACATCCCCACAAGCCTATACCCCCCACACACTTCATAAAGTCGCCCTCTGCAGAGCCTCGTAGGTGATGGCCAAACCAAACGATGCCACAGGTATGGGAAACGGAATCGAAGCGCTCACTGCTGCGAAGATGCTGGGGCCTGGGTATTACATGATTGGAATTTTTTAGGTTTCAGGCTTGCTCACCCTCCGAGTGGCTGCGGTTTCCTGCCTCCGTCAGTGTTTATTTGTTTTAACGTGGCTTCTACGGTTTGACATCGGGGTCGTCGTTCGATTCCTCCACCACGTGCCAGATATAATAGTTGCTATTTCGGGGGAAGGGGCCCCGGCAAGTGCCCAGAGAACCCACAAACACAAGCTGAATCCGGCTGCCAGAATCGACACCGGGGAGGGTTGGGGGAGTCTAGAAACTTGGGCAGTCGGCAACCTGCTGGTGTCGCCCCAGCGTCAGGGGTTGGAGGGTCGGCATTTGATCCTCAACCCTGCGATCCCTCATTCTAAGCTCTCCATGCAGACAGGTTCGTACAGACACAAGAACTGAGCTTTTCAACTCCACTTCTCGTGACACACCATTCCAGCACACGAGCCGCACACCCGGGCTTCCGTCGGAAGGCCAAAAATTGTTTAGAGTTCGCTTTGCTTAAAGATTGTAAACATTTGCAAACATTAATTTGACCACTTGGTAGGTCAGCCAAGAACTTTGCTCACATGACAATTAATCAAGACCCGACAGATGCCATTGCACGTCCTCCACCTAAGAACGTAAGCTTTGAAGATGCCCGCAAGCCCATGCAATCTGTTCAACAAATGTGAAAAGGCATACCAATTTCCGAAAGGAGCGCTGCAACACGAAAGACTCAACAATTGCATCATGGCAGCCTGGGCCATAGTCCCCGAGCGATTGGTTCAAAGCCCTGGCGCCCTGGCACGGCGTTACGGCCTTATGCTTCCGAATGGCAGGTCTTTGTGGTAAGGCGCCCTGAAGATTGTCAAAGAGTCGTCATACTTGCATTGGGTCAGGCTTGATTAGCATTGCCACCCAGCAACAACTTGAGCACACAATCTGAGCATACATGGCTGCCACAGGAGAAGAAGCGGTGCCGGCGCTGCCTTCCACCCCACGCCGACGTAGCCGCCAGCCGAGATGCCAACCATGGATGTTCCTACGCAGATTGAGCCGCTGAACCCGAGTTCAACAGAACCAGTGCTTCCCCAAGTGCAAGAAACCTAGAGGTAGGGTGGTACCCTTCTCGGGGCAAGGTATGGGCAGAGGCATGGTCACGGGCCACGAATGCTTCCTGTTGGGATTGGGGAAGTGAGATGATTCGCATCCCGAGAAGGCGCACGCCACTGTGGCTAGAGCTCATATCGGTCCTCCCGGCTACGGCTACATAGTCATATATAGGAATTTGGCAGGATACACAGTATTCTTTGCACGAGGTATGTCGGACTCGAGGATTTCGGGCATGCATGCTTGAAATCTGTAACTGATGGAAATTTAAGAGGTACACCCTCGAGCGCTTTCGCGTTCTCTTCACCAGGATGACCCACAACCGGTATGCATGCTCTGGAGCCCGGGATGAAAGCGGGAAGGAGATCCAAGCTGCTGCCCAACACCGTCAAAGTCTCTCCTGCGACGGCTCCGCCGGTCGCGAAAAGCCCAATTTCGCGGGTGCGGAAGTCAATGACCTCTTCCAGTCCTGAAGACCCAGGCTCGACCCCAAAGCCTGGCGTATAGACGCTAAACTGCTGACCCGGTCCCTTAAGGCAACCATTATGTAAGAAGCAGAGGGATGCTCGCGTCATTTCCTTTACAAATCGTGCTTCTGTCAAGCCATCGAAGCTATTGTTTGCAATTTTACAACTTACAACTAGGCCTTCTGTGGTACACTGATGACCGAAGGAAAACTGTCTGTGTCTGAAGTCTTCGTCACAAACGAGGCTGCCTGCGGCTCATGAGTATGGCTTGGAACCGTCCGAAGTACCAGGTACCGACGAGGAGCCTCCCGCCAACACCGATGCCCAGCCGCCAACGCCGCGAATTCCAAGCTGTGGGATTTTACCTCTTTTGGGCAAAGCCGCGAGGTCTTGCCCAGCATTTTTTCTTGGTCCAGAGGTTGCGGGGCAAACGATTCATTGAGAGTTTCTTGATCAGGCCGCAGGCTGCGGGGTTTTCATGATACTCGCTCAACGGTTTTCACTGGCGCGTCGACTTGGGCTTCCATCGCCGATAGCCCAGGAAGATTTCAATTCATAGCCCAGGACTCACATGCAAAAACCCTGTCCCGGCAAAAAGCTCCTACACAGAAGGCCAGCAGCGAAGCGAAATCCTTCGGATAATCCGGGCTCCGATGCCCTGAGCCGCTCGCCTTTGGTGACCTCTGCGATGACTTCACGGAAGCCTTTTGCTTCGCGACCTCTTGACCAAAGCTTGTGAGCTTCGGGCTTTGAGCCTCAGGTTTTTCAGTCTGAAGGCCTCATTGTGCTTTTTTGACAGGCGAGCCTATACTAAAGGCTCCTTAATCCTTAAGCCTGTTGCACTGGCTTCAAAACCCGGCCTCATTTCCGCAGCCTCTGTGGCAACAAGTCGGCAGTTTGTCCGGGCAAGGGCCCCGAGGCCCCAAGACGTTCCTAAAGTTAGGCTTCATCGAGTAGTCTTTGGCATCGCGACTCCGATCTTTGCTCGTGCAGCTGTTTTCTTCAGCTTCTCGGGGCCTGAGTGTGGATCTGAGGGCCTGCGGGGTGCTTGGGGCAAAATACCGAATCTGAGACCAAAGAGGTACCACCGTTGCTAGCCGTGCCTTCGAAACACCTCTGTGCATGTAGCTCGGGAAGCGGAGAAGCTCGCAAGACCCTGACTGAAACCGCAGCATGAGAGGAGCGCCTGCTTTGGCGTCGCAAGTCCTTTTCTCGAGGCCCTCCTGGGTCAGCTAGCAGAACCGGGGACTGGCGTGCGTTTGGAGGCGTCTCACAAGTTGTTCAGCTAGCCCCTCTTTGAATCCAGAACCTCAGGAACCACTGTGAAGCCGCATTAAACACGGGGATGTCTTGAAGTCAGTGGAAGGAGGGGGTAAGGCCGTCCGATCGTCCCAATGCCTTTCCCGTACCTTCATTTTCTCGTCGGCGAGTAGCGCTTTGCTTCTCCAGGCTCTGCAGCTTCTCAGTCGTGCCTTTGCCCTTCGCCTGGGCCACACACCGGCAACTCGGGCGCAACGATCCGATCCGACAAGAGATTGGAGGGGCTCTCCTCAGCATATATCCCCCTGTGAAACACGGTTTGCACAGTCCCTGGGGCCTGTGAAACAAATCCTGCCAAGTATTCGTCCCAATAGCTCTTGCCGTGATCAATTTTCTCGTAGCAGGAAGCCATAGCAGAAGCGGCTTCCTGAATTTCGGAATTACATTTACAGAAACAGGGAACGGACGAACAGCAGCAGTAACAGTGGCAAACGAAGCCCGATGGTCTGTCAGATCCGAATCACACCAACATCGAAGTTCTCAACCGGCCCCAGTCTCACAAGAAGGAAGGGCCAAGATCAATACAGCTACAATATAAGCTCGTGTTCTCAAGGCTCATGCAAAATCAGAACAGACGGACGTAAACCGGCAGATCAGCAGGGGCCGAGTACTCCCAAGGCCAGCAAACCCCTGAGGGTTGGGCCGCAGCCACCTCCATCCTCAGCTGCTTGCAGAGCAGGAATTGCATGGACAAAACCCAAGCCGCGGAATCCAAACTGCATATAGGGAAAGTGTGAGGAGTCTCAGGATTCGGCCAACATCGTGCGGTCGACCGGAAGCATACCAAGCTGAATCAGCACCAGCCCAAGTTTTCAGCAAATCACGAACTTCAGCGTAGGGTTTCAAAATCGGCGAGGGCCACGACCTCAATCCACTATCCCTAAGCGCCCGACGAGCCGTAAATCAGGGGCGAGCGTCTCGGCGGCAGTTTCCTTAAGGAGGTGGACCTCTTTCTCGAGCTCGCCCTCGGACTTCTGCCTCAAAGGATCGTTTGAAGGATGCGATTCTCGGTCTCGACTCTTACAGCTCGCGGAATTGGTGAGGACTACGACCATTCTGGTTTTTTTTCGGCTTCACTAACATATCGCAAGCCTGAAACCATCCTTGAGCCGCCAAACTGTCGGTGATGAGACAACTTTGGGGGGGCTGGGCTGACACGGCGCCCCTTCTCAGAAGCAAAATTGGGAAAACATGCTTCTGAGAAGGTTCTCTGTTTTCATTCGCAAATGCAAAACGGTTTCAAGGCCCAACATGTTCAGCATGAACATACGTGTCAAGAAGTTAGGGAATATACCATGTTGCTATTTAGCACAAGTTCGTGGGAAGTGACATAAGCATGTTTTGATGGGTCTAGGAATCTGACGGTGTGCAAAATGAACTAAAACTGGTAGAAAAACAGTCCTGCAAAACATAAATCTGAGAAAACCTGGTTCGTGGGTGGTATAATACGAAGTGTTTTAAATCAATGATGGTTCCTGAGGAAAAAGGAAATCTGTATATAAGTCCAAAATGTGCAAAACAAATAGAAGACAAACATCCCAGAAACAGGCAGCAGTAAGCAGTAGAGGCAGAACAGCAAACATGAGTCAGAGGAGGAAGCCAAGAGAGGACAGGACCGGACAATCTGCCCCTAAGCCCTTAGCCCCCAACATGCCCAACCTAGGTCGTCAACCCTAGCCAGCCTGAGGCATCATTTTCATAATTAGTTTAAGACTAAGTCCTCAACCCCTAAATTGTTTAAATGAAATCATATCCCAGGACTCAGCCCCCCTGGACTCGAATATAATATGCTGAAGCCCATTTGCGGTTAATATTAATGTTAGTTAGTTTGTTTGTTTGCTTGTTTGTTTGTCTGTTAGTTAGTTATGATGGCTTATGAGGACTCTTGACGAACCGAAACGGACGAATAATGACGACGAGACGAGGATGACGATGACTCCGTCCATCGCGAGGATGCTGTCAGCCACCGGACCTCAGGGACAGCTAAGCACAGAGATGCAGGTCAGTCAGACAGACAGGTCGAATGAAAATTTCGGCAAGCCACTGAGCTGTTGTTCCAGGTGGATGACCAACATGTCGTGGCCTGGCAGGGTCTTATATTATAAGATGAATCGGATGAGACTCATAATTAGACTCACACACTCGCACTCACTCGGCTGATGATCATTTTGGTCGAGGCCCCTCATTTGAGTGATTCGCCAGGAGTCCGGGAGTCTCTCTGAGATGATCTGTGCTGCATAGACTGGTGAACTTGGAAGTATGTTATCTTAGTATTTTGTCTCATTCAAGTTTTGATATTTAATATCAATTACCATTATTTTTGTTTAAAAATTTATTAATTATTATAATTATTTACAGTGAGATACTAGGGAGACTCCCCCTCCTGTTCCCGGGTCTCCGGGTGCATCCCGGGACGACACGTCCCTCTGTGCATCCTGGGACGACTCGTCCCTGACCATCTCCTCAGTCCTCATCCTCATCGTCAACATCCACGACCACCGGGGGCCCCTGCCCCCGCGGGTGGGACGACAAGCCCCTGCCCATCTCCATGATCCGGGCCATGACTCGCACCGTCTCAGTGGGCCTGTGATAACCTCCCGACGACGAGGAGGACGGCTGGAGCGACTGCCCCCCCTGGAGCGACGGCTCCCCCTGCTGGACCCCTGAGGACGACGGCTGGAGCGACTGCTCCCGGAGCGACTGCTCCCCCTGCTGCTGCTCGTCCTCGGGCGCCTCGTCAGGGAGATCCTCCACCGCCATCGCAAGCACACTGGTCGCAATCGTGGAGGAATCCTCCAGCAAAGCCAGACAGGCAGCAACTGCTGCCCGACAGTCTGTGCCTCCCATCTCCAGAAACTTCCGGAGCCTGTGCATGGCATCCTTGCCCTTCTGCAACAGGTAAGTCGCCGGGAAAGCATTCCAGCGTGTGTTTCTGGTGCAAGTCGCCCAGAAACTGTCTCCCCGGCTCTGGGGCACCTGCCCCACTGCACCAACTCCTCGGGTGAACTTCACCCGCGAATCCGGGGGCGGAAGGGGGCCACTGCCCCCTGGCCCCCATCCATCGCTCCCAATAGCATCGGAGAGCGTGGCGGCCGTGTCGATCACCTCCAGGACGCAACTGCGCCCAATGTAACTGGGCAGGTGCTGCAGCAGCCAGATCCCAGCATCCCGCAGGTCATCCAAGACCTGCTCCTGACAGCGGAGCTCGATCCAGGCAAGGCCATCCTGGCGGACCTCCGCCAGGATGGCCTTTACCCAGTCCTCAACTCGCCTCTCGTAGGCCATGGCTGACTCAGCCCGGCTCGGGATAATAACTACACCCACTTGGAGAACTACTCCCCTGTATTATTATTGGATCGGAGAACTACTCCCTTGTAGCTACTTGGAGAACCACTCCGTTTAAATGTTTAACTACACCCACTTGGAGAACTACTCCCTTGGGATGGGTTTGTTAATTCAACCCGCGAATAATAAATTGATATTAGATTAAAACCTGGATGGTCCCGTATTCCCCCAGTCAAACAAGTGAGTATAATCTACATGTTATGATACAAATGAGGCCAAGGCCGGGAAAAGCTGTTGGTGGGTTGCGAAGAAGTGAGCTGCAGTATTCCACACAATTTAGTGTTACCTGTACTGTACTGTCTGACAGAGATAGTCTGATGATGTATTTCTTTCCCGGGCCTCAGCCAGTCCTAAATTGAATAATATATTCAATAATACTGGGTGTCTCCCCTAGCCAGAAAGCTACTTCATTGATGGGTTGGATGATCGATGCACCCATGAAATCATTTACTATCGAGAGTATCATATTTATCAAATTTTTAACATCACTAGCAGTGGCCTCGATGGGCCTGGGTATTGATTCTTAAAGTCTTAGCTGATACGGACGGTCAGCACTCACGTCACTGAGATCAGATCTTCAGGCAGCGGTCAAAGGTGCATGAAATCAATGACTGACACAGCCAACAGCGACACACCACCTGTCTACTGAGCTGAGACTGTCAGACCCTGCAGAAAAGTCTCACTGAATTTTATTTTATTTGATTCAACCAGTGACACCGAGCCTGAGCTGAGACGAGCATGTCCGGATCTTGAAGTCGGCGAGGAGCGAGGTGGTCCTGCTGGTCAAGGCTAGATTCATTAAAACCACTACAGACATTTCTTGTGTGAGCATCAAGAGGCCAAGGAGGTGAGGGTATGTCAAATTGACGATGTCATTCATAATTAACTAATTAATTACTGCATGGCATCAAGACATTCCCAATCGACATCAACAAAGTGTGATTCTTATGAAGTTATGACGAAGCAAAACAAGCCCAGGCTGTAGGGTCAATTACTGCCGCTGGTGTGTCAATCTGAGGCCGGATCAGATCAGGGAGGCTGCTAGCAGATGTCATAGTTACTCAGTCATGACTCATGTGATGCTGTCCTGCATTGTCGCTTGCCGATGCACTGTGGATTTGATTTAAATATAATAATGCAAGATCAGGTGAGGAGGGTGTGATGGGTGATTGAATTGGTTGGAACTGCTCGCCCTGAGTTGTGCACTCCCTACTGCAGGGTAAGGGCCAAGTCAGGGAATGGCATACTCATGACTCATGTGTGTCGCTCGCTTAGCTTGTCTAGTATATCCTTGGGGATTAGCTCATTTTTGAGTCATCATCATCAGCAGGAGCTTTTTTAAAAGTTTCGTATTATACTGTTTTTTCCACCACATACCTATTAGCTAAAATTGAAGACAATGCCTGTCTCTAGTAATTTATCTTAGTACATCAGAATACACTCGCACGGTATAACAATATTGATATTATGATCCCTTAAGTAACAGTTCTAGCATATTGTGTTATGAACCATTAGAAGCCTGAATTACTAATAGAATCTTGTGTCAGAAAATTGATAAATAATTAGAATCATTCATTTGACTCGTTCGCATGATGTTTCGGAGTTGGAATTCCAGGTATGGCTACCTGTCAACAACTTACAAAAACTCATAATATGCTATTCTCCTGTGTGTTGCCAGTATGCAATCGTAGATTCAGACAATGTCTCAGTGTCTCATAGTTTCTAGTGGGTTGTTGATTCACCAAGGATTTCTCTCGTGGTCTGGACAGTCTCACACACTGACTGGGGGGCAATAAGCAGTCGAACTTGACACTAAGTAAACTTAGCAGGCTGCTTGGACTAGAGGCATCTGCACAATTGCATCGTGACCCAGTTGTCTGTAGTGTTGTTGTCATTGCTGTGTGTATCTAAGAACGTTCATGAACTAATTTAATTCATGATAATTATTAATTTATAGTTTATTCGGATTTCAAGACTAAATTATGTGCCACAGGCATTCTCGAGCAAAGCCTGCAGCGTGTCTGTGTGTGTGCTCTCGTCGTATCCCTTACCCCAGGGTCACCGACGGACAAAAATAACCGATTAAACCGGGAAGCCCTCACCCTGCCACCACAACCCCCGGACCCGACTGAGGACCACACACTGGCAAACAACATTAACATTGCATAATATCATCAATAGTCTGAAATTAAATCTGCAGCTACCAATTTTGACAGTATTTTAATAGTAGTAATGACAGTCTAGTCACGTCTGCACTCGAAGGGGCAATCACACTGGCAGCCACCGGGGATTTCTCGCCCGGTCCGGTTGCTCAAGACACACCTTGAGTTAGTTGAACCACCGAGGATTCCTCTCCCGGTCCGGTTGCTCAGGTTGCACTCAGCAACACCCATTGGGCTTACTAGGAGTGCTACTACCACTTACGACTGAAAAAAAATGAATAAGCACTCGATCCACGTACTTGCTACTAACGTTGGTACAGTATAAACTTAGTACTACTACTTACTTAGAAGGTAGAAGAAGGACTGGAAGTAGTAGTAGTAGTAGTAGTAGTGGTAGTAGTAAGTATTTGTAGTAGTGGTAGTAGTGGTAGTAGTAGTAGTAGTAGTGGTAGTAGTGGCAGTAGTTAATAG